GTAGAGCATAACTGTCAGGAACTGAAAGTGATTATGAAATAATAAGTATTCTCATTTCTGGGAACTAAGAGGAACTTGGGTTCTTGCTCTCGTGTAAATATAAGCTATAATCCTTCTTGATTTTTCTATCTCAGCAGTAGACTTCCAATGATTCTGCTCCATCTTTGCTTCCACTTAGTAAATATTGTTTCCTCAGTGACTTCAAGAAAGACTTTGCTCAGTATCCAAAGTGCAATTGATACTGCCCATACCCACGCAGGCTTCACCATTTCAGCGCAATCCTCAACTTCCAAATGCCACTAGCACCACAGTCTCTTTGCCTGAGGGCTTTCTCTCAGATAATCCCAGAACCAGCAACACAACAAAAATGCAAGGAATAATTAACACCCCATGGGCACATCTCTCAAGCAATGACCAAGAGAAATCAGTGTAGAAACACCCCAGGTAGTTTCCAGGTGGGAGACTTTGAAGTCTGTGGCCCACACTGGCTCCCAGGATTCCACTGCAGGATAACAGTTTCAACTAGGTTCAAACTCCAGGTTCCAAGTCACCACTTGATACAGTTACCATGTTTGATAACCTTTTAGGGACTGTTTTCCCTTCCATGTCTCATTCCCCACTCCCCAGCAGTGTTTTCCAGAATTCATGTCCCAAATAAATTACTTACACTTGAAGCACATTTTGTTTCTGGGGGAATCTAAGCCAAGGCACCAGTAGAGTCTGTGTGTGGCCCTCAGGTGAATGAAAGCAAGATGATGGCCCTCTGGGAAAAACTGGCTGCCAGGAGGTCTAGAGCAGTGGCTCACAAACCTGGATGATTGCCAGCGCCACCTGAAGAGCCTTTGAATGGTACAGATTCTGTCTCGATTCCTGGAGAATGTTTCAATAGGAAACATAAAGGACTTGAGAGTTAAGATTTTCAAGAGCTCTTTAGGTGATTCCAATGATTAATCCAATTAGGAACTGTATTAGAAAAATAATGACTTTCCAATGATATCTATGCTTTAATGCCTGGAATTTGTGAATAGGTTACTTTGTGTGACAATGGAATTAAGATAGCATATGGGGGGGGTCTCCCTGTGGCGCAGTGGTTGAGCGCTGGGCTGTGAAGCTGCCCGCAGTCTCTGCAGCGCTGGTTTGATCTCCGGCCACCAGCGAGGGTCCCACATGGCGAGTAGACCTCTCCTGCCTTGCCCGCTGCTCCCCTCAGCCCTGTACTTCATCAGTGTGCCTGTTCTGCTCCCTGCTCTGGCTCTGGTGAATTCTCTCACCCTCCCTCCCACGCTTCTGACTGTACCCAGTGCTTGTAAAAATAAATAAATAAATCTTTAAAAAAAAAAAAAAAAAGATAGCATATGGGAATGGATTTCCTAATCAAGTGACCATAGATAGGGAGAATGTCCTTGATTATCCAAGTGGACTCAATATACAAACAAATGTCTTTAAATGTGCAGGAAGGAGGTAGAAAAGACAAAGCCAGAGACATGGAAGCAGGAGAAAGACTTTTCCCTATATCACTGGCTTTGAATATAAAAGAAAGAGATCCTGAGATAAGAAGTAAGGGAACTTCCTTTACTTCTTAAGAAGATAAGGAAATGGATTCTTACCTAGATTCTGGAATACAGAATATTGTCCAGTTATAACCTTAGTTTTAGTTCATTGAGACTCATTATAGGTTTCTAAACTCCAAAACTATAAGATTTTATATGCATGTCAATTCAACCCACTAAATTTATGATAATTTGTCACAGCAGCAGTAAGAGACTAATACAAGGAGAAATTATTCTGGGTCAGTACTTCTCAAATGTTTGTACATAAACTATTGAATCTATTATAGTCAGTCTAGGGTAAGAATTGAGATTTTGAATTTCTAACAAATTTGCAGATGATACAGATGTTGCTAGTCAGAAGACCACAGGTGGAGGAGCAAGATAAGAGCAAGGTTTCCAGAACTCAGCATTACTGACCATTTAGCACAGACAATTCTTGGTTATAAGGGTAATCCTGTGTGTTGTAGGACATTTAACAATATCCATTGTTTCTATCTATTAATTCTGGTAGCAATTCATCTCCAGTTATGGCAACAAAAATGTCTTCAGACATTGTCAAATGCCCCTAAGAAATATTATTCTCAGAAAACTGAAGACCAAGGAATCATTGATGATGAGACTCAGGTAAATAACAGGTTAGTAGATTGGAATTAGAAAACCTACATGGAGAGCAATGTATTTAGTTACAGATTTTAGTTACAGACCTCAATGCAAGCAAAAATTTTCCTACAAAAACAAAATAGAAATTTAACAACTTAAAATAAATGGATTAATTTGTCAAAAGCCACTTACCAGCAAAATTCAACCAAGATGAAATAGACCATTTGAATAGTCCTGTAATCATTAAAGAAATTTAATATTCCACTTCTAACTATCTACCACAAAAATACAAACACACTAATTTGAAAGGAAACTTGCACTTGTATGATCATAGCAGTACTATTTACAATAGCCAAGATGTGGGAATAACCTAACTGACCAAAAACAGATGAAGGATCAATAAGTGGCATATATAGGCATATATACACCACTTGGCAAAATGAGCCAGAGGGAGAAAAAATACTAGATGGTGTCATTTATATTTGGAATATAGAAAAACCAAAGATACAAAGACCAGCCTTTGAAAGCTGACCATAGATCTGTGGCTCTCAAAGGGGGTGTCAGGGTTGAATGGGGTGCTAGGGAGGAATACCGAGGAGAGCACAATGGACTATGGCAGAGGACTATGGTGTTTCAGTGATGGAGTGCTGTGGTGACAATACATGGAGGGAGTAGCCTATATTGTCAAAACACTAGTAAGGATATAAGATGTTGATATTTCAATAAAAATGATAATTAAAAAAAATCACCCAGAAAGAATTATCCATGCCTAGATGGTTCCACTATAGAATTTTGTCAACAATATTAAAAAGAATTAACACTAATTGTACTTGATCTTTTGCTGAAAATAGAAGATGCAGGAACATTATAAGTCTCGTAGGGTCCTGATATCAAAACCAGATGAAGAAAACTACCAATATCTCTCATAAACTTACACATGAAAATCTGCAACATAATATTAGCAATTTGAATCTAACAATGTGCAAAATAAATTATAAAACTAGACCATGTGGAATTTATTCCAGGTAAGAAGGATTGATTCAACATTCAAACATTAATCACTGTAATCCACTGTCAACAGGTTAAAAAAGAAATGACATGATCAGATGTAAGAAAATATTGGGAAAAATTGACTATCCATTCATGAGATAAACTCTCAAAAAACTAGGAACAGAGGGAGATACCCTCAATTTGATAAATAACATCTACAGAAACCTGAAACCAAAGTCATACTTAATGGTAAAATACCAAATATTTTCCCCCTAACACCTGGACATGAAAATGTCTATTTTCACCAACATTTTCAAAATAGTACTGAAAGTTCTAAAATCAATCCAGTGAGACAAGAAAAAAAATCAAAGGTTAGGGATTGGAAAGGAACAGATAAAACTATCTCTATTTGCAAATGACATCATGGCTTACATTTTGTCCACAACTAGGATTTTTTTCTTATTAACATGATAATGGCATTGAATCAAAAATTGTTATTTGACTCAAAGTTATTTGTACATCATATCATCTTTATTAATATTATTATTTATTTAAATAGTTTGAACCTGAAATCAACTAAAATGTCCTACAACAGGTTGTTAACCAAACTGATACAGCCATCACATGGAATATTATTCAACAATGAAGAAGAAACACTGTTGATTCACACAATAGCTTGGATGGCTCTAAAGGAAATCATTCTATATTGAAGTTAACCTTTCAATAACACACACTACATGGTTCCCTTCTTACATCACAAACAAACAGTTCCCTTTATATGACCAAATTATAGAGCTGAGAACAGATTATGGGTTATGATGGATGAGAGAGAAAGGCGAGATGAAGAAACAAAGGAGTCTGGTTATTTGGAGTTTTTCTTAGAGATTGGTGTGTTCTACTTGTGAAGGCTTTGGGTTTGGGAAAAAGACAGAGTGCTGAGGGTCACAGCCTTTAGGAACCCCAGGACATGCCCTAGAAAATGACAGCACCCTGGAGAATGGAGGGAGGTTGTGTAAACAGAGGATGTAAGCTTCCTAGGTTGGGGAAGGTACCTTAGAGCAAAACGAATTCCAGTCCTACCTCCCATGTTACAAGAAGCAACCACATTAGATAAATAAGAGCAGTATTTCCCAAATGACAAAATCCCTACATGATCATCAAGATATTTGCACTATCTGTATTCTGCCTCTACTATTATAGATGTAGTGTCTTTGTTCAAATTGGCTCAGGGCAAAGATAAATATTTGCATAAAATAAAAATTCTGCTTGTGTACTACCCGAAGCCAGCTGGTGCCCCATCAGTCACACACCTAGCACACTTTGTAAAAGAAAGGGGAAAAAAACAAGAGGGAAAGAGGGCAAAGGGCATCTGAGCAGAAGGAGCTGCCTGAGCTAGAGCACGAAAGCATGAAGGAGCATGATGTGTTCAGAGCCCAGAGTGACTGGATGGAGGAGGTTTGCAGGAGGGGAGATATGGTGGGTGATGAGGCTGGAGAAGGACTGTCAGGGTTGGCTTGTGATGGAAGGGATTAAAAGAATCAAGGTCCACTCCACTCCTTTTGTTATCGCTCGCTCAGGCAGAAGGACTGGGCAAGTGTCCTGGGGACTGCATGTTCTCATTCTCTCCCTCAGCTGCGAAATTGTGGGCAGTCATGTGTAGCTGTGTTAACACTACATGACTAAAACCAATCCCCCTGTCCCTTTCAGCTGCATACCTCGCTGCCTCCACTGCTTTCACAGACTGATTTGCATCCAGGCAGGTTGAGTAAACAAGGCTGTAAGGGGAATATAAATAACCACAGACTGGATTGTGGTTCAATACTCTGGTCTGGGGAAATCAGAATTTCCACTTACCTCCCATGCCAAGGTGGAGCCTCTGAACCGCTCACAGGGTTCTCACCCTTTTTCTCCCAAGATACTGGTGCTGATCCGTAGCTCTGCCTGGTTCTCCTCCACTCCTGACTTCACTACCAGATGCTGACTCGCTCAGTTGTCACAGAAAACCGTGCTCTCTTTTCAAGCTGCCTGGGACGACTGGACAGAAGAAAAAAAGCTGTGCTTCCTTACAAGAGATTCCCTCTATATACCTTGACCTTCTCAAGGTCATAAACTTAATCTTATTTTATGGCCTGCCCCCCAAATGACTGACTCCATCCTGCTTCATATACTCAGAGGGAAACACCAAAGTCATTCAGGCTTGAGTCTGACTTCAATTCCAACTCCACTGCTGTGACCTTAGGTAAAGTTTTAAACTTTCTGGACAGTCATTTTATTTTCATCTATAAAGTAGTGATGATAATTATACCTACCTCTTAGGGTTTTTGGGCAAGGGAAATTTAGTGATCTCTGCTAAGTGTTTAGCATGTTTCTGGGATAAAGTACATGTTAAATAAGTTGTAACTTTTTAATACTGTTTTGATGATGATTTTGATGACAATGATGTGCATACTCATGGAGTTGATTCAAACTGTTAATACTTACAACTCATGTCTCTATAAACCCACTTACTTGATTAGTTTCAAATGACAGGAAGAAGGGAAGACAGAGAAAAATTGAGAGACATCTTCAATGTAGTGGTAGAAACTCAGCATCTAGGGTAAGAAGGTTCAAATCCTGACATAACTTCTTAGAAGTTACAAGACTTATGTAAACATCTCTTAATTATTGCCCCATTACCCAAAAAGTGGGAATCTCAATGACTAACCTCCTGAGGTTAATTTGAAGGCCAAGTTAGATGTTATTTTTGAAACTTTCACATTTTGCATTGTATCTTTTAAGACTTTATGAATCGTAGACATGTAGGGAACTCTGTCTGAATAGAAGAGGTGTGAGAAACAGCATAAAAATATAAACTATGGAACTTGTAAGTCACTCCATCTCTTGATGCTTGTTGAGTTCACTTCATATTCAGCTCTGAATTCTGGCCTCAGTTCATCTCACTCCCCCTCTCCCAAGCTATAAAGGAGTTACGTGGGTCTTCTTTCTACTCTTCGAACACTTCTAGTTCATTCTACCTCAGGACTATCTCTGTTCATCTTTCCCTGTCTAGAACAGTTTCCCCGAGCTCATGTCATGACTAGTTCCTTTCTACACTTAGAGTGTAGTCCAATAATTACCTTCTTAAACATTCTTCCCAGATTCCCGAGTCAACAATCTATGCAGTTATTCCCTGTCATCCACACTTTTTCAATTGTGTACATGACACTTTCTCACCTGTCAATTCAATTCTATTCTATCTGTCTCTCCCCTTTAAAGTTAAACTTCATGAGGGCAAGAACTTTGCTTATTCACTGCTCTACTAAGTGTTTAGAACATACCAGTTTCCTCCAAATGTGGTTTTTGAAGGAACAGACATACTGATATAGTGAAGTTTTAATCTTCAGGCTTCTTCCCACACCTCTTATATTCTATTGGGCAACAAAGGGCATATAAGAGAAGATGAGACATGAACCTTTAACTGGAATAGGACCTAAGTCACAGAATGTTATTGTGAGTATTAAATCAGAAAATGCATATGGAGGCTTAGCACAGTGCTTCACATAGGGATAGAGCTCAATGTATAGCAGTTAAAATTATCTTTCTCTTAAAATTTGCTCCCAGATACACAGTGGACTCCTAGTTCTGTGAGTTGTACTGCACTTTATATAAAATATGAAAGTTATAGTCTATTTGAGCTTAAATAGACTAGGTTGACTCAAAGCATACCCAAGTCCATCCCTGATCTTTTTCTCTAGACATAACTTAATCCTGTCCCTTGACATCCTACCATTCTGATGGCAGTAGGAGGAATGGAAAGCTAAATCTAAGAAAAAACATGTCCTAGGGCTTTCCCAGTGGCGCAGCGGGTTGGGCGCAGTGGGTTGAGCACAGCACTGTGAAGCTGTAGAGATACCCACATGGCGTGGCCGGCCTCTCCTGTCTCGCCCACCTCTCCCCTCAGCAGTGTTTTCGGTCCATCTGCCTGTTCTGCTCCCTGCTCTGTCTCTGGTGAATTCTTTCACTCTTCTGCATCTCTGGCCTATACCCCAGCTCTTGTATAAATACATAAAATCTTAAAAAAGCACATCCTAATAGGTAAAGAGAGAAAAGTTTTTTCTAAGATCACTAAAAAACAGGTACCTCTCTGCTAGAGGGAAGTCATCAACATTAGCTGCATGAAACAAAAGAGGATGAATCTAAAAATCATTTGTTGTTAAGATTCACAATTTCTTTTTTTACCTCTGTCTGCCCACTAAGTGTACTGTGCCTTTCTGTATGTGACCTAATAATGCCTTTTTCATTACCCATATTTGAGCTTTTCTTCCTCCTGAGTGAAGAGAGAGGTGGACTCTCCTTTCTGTCACTAACTTGTAGACCATTCCAGGTCTATGTCAACATAAACTTGGAAATTCTCATTCATCTTAAGACACCCTAATTTCTTTTGTTCATTCATTTAACAAATGATTATTGAGTTCCTACTGGGTTCAAAGCACTGAAAGAGATATGGAGATATAGCCCTGGGCAAAATGAGACCCAGTTGCTGCTGTAATGGAGTTTACAAAACAATGTAGAAGAGAGATTTTAAAAATGTAAAAAAAAACGAAAAATTTTAAATGTCATGAGAAGAAAAATGTAGGACATGAAATGTTTATAGGCGGCTGTTAGGAAAAACCACTCAGCATCTAAGCTGAGACTTGACAGGCACCGATAGTTACACAGGTGAAAAGGAGGCAAAAGTTTTATTAATGCAATTTGAATGTCACTTCCTCTGGGAAGCTTTTTCAACCTACCACCCCATAAGATTTCTTGTCCCTCTTTTGTGGGTCGTATCTCAGTTTTACTTGTTTTGTAGCGTATACAGGATATGCTGGGCATATCCATCTCCCTGTTACTGGAGCACAAGATACTTAAGGCAAGGAATTAATCATATTCCTCTCTGCCTCCTCCACTCTCTCTCACACAATGTCCAAGACAAAAGATTGTTCCATGAATGTCTGCTGCATTTTTTTTTTTTGAGCTAGAGTAACAGAATTCAAGTGACTTTGAGAACAGAAAGAAGATTTTTAAAATACTCTAGATGAAACTTTTTTGCCACTCTTATGGGGTGAAATGTGTTCCACATTTCCTAAATATTACCCATCAATACAGCTGTTTTCTTTCCAGCTGTGTTAGCTAATTAATTTCCTATTAACATTTCTCACTATGAGCAGCTACTAATAACCACACCACCACAAATAACTTGATTCAAAGATGACTGACCATTTTGCAGGAGGGAGTCAAGAAGTACACTGAAGTTTAATAAATAATGAATGACCACAGGGTATTTAGAAGCTTGTAATATAAAAACAACATATGGGCCATAAGATAGAATTACCTTGGATCATCCTGCATATCTTTCTACAAAGTAATTCTTGAGAATATTAAAAATCATTTTCCCCAGTCACTGAGCTTGGAGAGAAAATAGCCCAGGTGTGGCAATATGCAACCAATATTGGAAAATCCCTCTAGCTAGCCACTGGCTTGCCTGAATCCTCCAAATTCTGTGTGACAATATGGAGAAGGTACATTTTCATTCTGAAAAGTCAAGGGTCAGAATATGAAATGAGGCATTATTTCCCCAGAATGTTAAGATAAGGTGTCAATGGATGTTTCATAACAGCAAATGATCGGTGGCCCAAAAATGGAAAAATTCTTTTTTAAACAAAAACTAAAGATTTTTTTCTGCTAAGGCTTTTAGGAGTCTTTAATATTCTGATATGTGTTATGCATTACATAAATGGGAATACAGGATTCAATATCTCCCAAATATATTTGAACCATAGATTATTTCTTGATGTATCTCTATTACAATGACTTACAATAATGATTGGAGTAGTCACAAGGGCTATGTATTTTAGTCCCTAAAGTAACTATTAAAGTAGAAATATCACTGGCTTTAAATTAGAAGGCCTGGGTTCAAGTCCCTGAGGAGTCATTTAAAAGTATGTCCCTAAACATATCACTTAACTCTGAAGGCTCAATTTCCTCACCTGCAAAGGGAAGCAAAATCATCAGTTCCAACTTTACTGGCTTAGTGATTAAATATGTTAATAAATATTAAAGGACTTTTATGAAGTATAGGCACCACATAAACTTTGCTTTTACTGTTAATAATGTTCAATATAAAAACTGAGCATTCAGAGGGAGACAATAGCAAACTTACCAAAGTAGGGAGATTTAAAGTAAAATTCAGGAAATCAACAAGATGGTGCTAGAGTTACAACTTAGGTGCTATGCATGGCAGGACCATGGAGACTTCCACAGGGTGCTACTGAGCTCCTCTCCTTGTGACTCTATCCACTGACTTCAGCCCAAAGACAGCCCACAGCTACCTACTTGGTTAACCCTTTTGGCCTTAACAGGAACTGACATCCATCCAGCAAGGAACTCCCATGGCTTACATGAAAAGTCAAGTCTTTCCAAATATACACAAAAAGACCTGGTAGGCACCTTTAAGGATGTGAGGTTGTTTTTCTGCACAGGGATTTGGACCTCTAGCCATATATATCACTACTGTATCTGCTTTCCTTGAGGTCTTTGGTATGAGAATTGTAAGAAAAATGACTTATTCTTTGACCTCATCTTAAATTTCCAAATTCTTTAGTCCTTCCCTCTTTTTTACTGGAACATTTTACTCTTCTACCTTCTTCTTGACCACATGGATCCTTGAAATATTTCCTGTACATTAATTTTAGAATTCACATTTTTTACTAAGCCAACAGGAATGAAGACAATGCCTCCCTATTTCTAAATCTTATTAGATCACCAAGGCAATAACACTTGTCCTGACATGTGTTCTGACAAAAATGTCAGAAAGGTGTCTGGAATATGCAGAGGATTATAGTGCAGTTCAATTTTGATGTGTGTTATTTCCACCTTCTCTGAAATAACAGTCACTGATGCACTAGTTCAAGTATGTTGAGTAGGTCTTTTCAAATGAAAATTTCTGCCATGTGGACTTTATAGACAATACTGAAAGGCATAACATGAAAATTATTTACCAAATTTCACCTTTATATATTCTGATCTATGATGCCAGATCTAGGAATTTTACAAACTATATTTCCACAACAACTCTGACAACTGGTTTCCTACTAGGATTTGTCAGTAGGTGATACAGTGGGAAGTGAAAGAGAAGCAAGGAAAAGAAAAGGGACCCCTTTCTGCCCTGTGTTGTGGTCAAAGTGATTTCAGTGGAGCAAAATGGATGGAGCTAGAAGGGGCAATGTTAAGTCAGAAGGAGAAAGATAAGTAATGGATGATGTCACTAATATGAGGAATATAGAGTAACTGAACTAAGAGTCAGAAAAAGATATGTTTAAAAACCAATGCTTGAAAGATGACTACAGAACTGAAGCATCCACAGGGGAGAAGGGTAATAAGAGGGAAGGAAGCACATGGACAAATGGGGTGGACTCAGTGATTGGTGGTGGTTGAAGTAGGGTGGCAATGCCTGATGGTGGTATCCAAATATTACCTCAATTAAAATATAATTTAATTTCAATAAGTTATCTCAGTGGTTTCTGCACCACAATCAAGCTGATTTCTTCACTTCTAGGGGCAGTTTAACCTTTTCAGAGGATGCAGGGCATTTCTATTTACAGAGGTCTGCCCACTGATTTTATTGGGCTTCTCCTATAATAAACTCTAAGATTTTGGCTACCCTTAGCCTCCTTTGCCTCCCCATCCCTATGAGAGGTAGCTTCTCTCATTATCTATTGTTTCTGATGTTATTGATGTTTCCTCCCCCCACATCCATTTTACAGTTCTCTAAAACAGGTATAACTAAGTCCCTGTGTCAAATCCCCTTTGTTAAGATACACAGTGTGGTTTTTGCTTTCCTGACTAAATTTTACTGAAAAAAAATATATGTGAAATTATCAGTCCCTTCAAAGCGCAAGCACAATATCCAAGACTGTAGGGATGTATAAACAAACCCTTAGTGCTTTCAACCATTTGATTGTCATGGACTCATTTTAGAAACTGATGAATTGCATGGACCTTTTCCCCAGAAACTACACTAATAGAAAACCATGTGCATAAAATTCTGAATGCAATATCAAGTATTCATGGATTCCCTAAAGTGCCCCCATGAATTCCCAAATGGATCCAATATTGAGAGATATAAAGGTCTCCAGAATGTCATGAGAGTTTCAAAATTCATCATTCTTAATTTTTTACTTAGACACATACCAAAATTTCCCTACTTAACAATTCTAGAAGCTTATAAGTGAGTCACAACAGTAATTTCATACTCTGATCACTTTGTTCTTTTTTTATCTTCATAATAATTACATAAGTAAGCCACAGCAAGAGTTATTTCTTTGTTTATAAAATTGTATGTAAGAAATGTTAATGACACATACTCAGG